GTGTGAAGTCTAGTTTGTCTATACATATATATATATACATATATACACACACATATATATATATATATACACGTAACACACAATCACATACACATATACAGACATATATGCATATAATTATGTGTATATATATATATATATGCATATGTACATATGTGTACTCCGTTGGTACATGAACCGTATGCGAACGAACACAAAGGGACAGGAAGCCTGGAACCCAAGAGACACAGGCCCTGGTGCAACTCCTGGTACGGCCCTGGTCTTCTGCTTTAGGGTTTTGGGGTTTCTAAGGTTTCAGGCTTTAGGGTTTAAGTTAAGGGTTAAGGGTTTGAGGTTGAGGATTTTAGGGGTTCAGGGCTTGGGGTTAGGGTTCTGCAGCACCGCACCCACCCTACGGAAACTAGCCCACCTGGAACCGTCTGTGTCACCGGTCCTCCTCAGTGTACGAGCGCAATGTTACACGGAACACCTCCTCACGTGTTGGTAAAGTTGCAGTTGGAGACATTGGAGAGGAAGCAGCAAGGTCACCTCAAGCAGCTCTTCAAAACTTGACCAGGCTGGGCAACGAATAAATATCTCCACAACCAAAGTGTCCACCGACTACGCCCTAAACCCCATGCCCCATGTCCCAGCCAGAGGCTGCCAGAGTACCGGCTCGCCTGGTCGGGCAGCTACTTAGTCTTCTAACTGCAACTATCATGGTACGCGCCTGTACCGTGTGGGAACCGAACAACTTGAGCATTCAGCCTGTATCTTCTGAACATGCAGGTGCATAGCAACTCATTTGCGTCTGTAGAAACGCATGATAGCATTTGGGCCGGTTCTCGTTGGGAGGAATTGCACACTGCACTGTGGAGGATTCGTACGTGCTTGTTCACCTACTGCGGCCACTCGAGCGGAATGTCACGGAACGTGAACGGCGATCGGAAGGACCGCACAAGCTTCGTGACAAAAGTGATGTTGCCAAACATGCGCTGTGAGCCACTACGGGTCTGCTTCACTACTACGGCGGCCTTAACAATTAGAATAGGGCTTTGGGGTATATCATACTATAATAATAACAAGACTGGAACCCCCCAAAACCGTAAACATAGTGTAGGTCATTACCAAGGCCCCCATACTACAGGTTCCTGGGCTAGCTCGACTGAAGCCAGGTGCTTCGTCTTGAGGATGAGCTAACCTAAGACTCCATGTGCTCATATAGCAGGTACTTAGGCCTTAAAGGGCCCTAAAGGGGTACTGTTATTATGTGGGTACATGGAGCCTTTGGGCCAATTGCAGCATTTGCCATTTCCCAGCTGTCATTGCCGAGATTCTGCTTGCTTCCGCTGGTGATGCTCTGGGACTCAAATCGAGACGCGATTGTGTGGGAGAGTTTGTCCTTAGATGAAAACGCCGTGGCTTTGGCATTAGGCCCGGCGGCCGAAAACTCATAAACGCATAGCTGATCAAGCATGAGACAAAGACAGCACACATCCTACAGGTCCTACAGTAATGTTGCCACCATGCCCCCAGTTCCTCATCCCGGGTATCTACATCCACTTGACCATGTGACGAATCATTCTCGACTCTCGAATCTCGTCCACCCCTTCTGGCATGTGTTGACTTCAGCCGGTGCGAACCCCTCCACTACCAGTGGGACTTGTCATAGCAGGGCCTCGTGCCAAAGAAGCTTTCACTCAGCCTCGAAGAACTTCTGGTGGGATGAGGCATGGTACCCCAACCCCCCAAACCTGCACGCCCAAGCTCAACATCCGGGCACCGAAGTAACGGTGCCTCTAGAAAAATGAGTCGACCGTAGCATCGAATACCTCAAGTGTAAGAGCCGGGCGTCCTTGTTCGACTGAGAAGCAGCTCTTGCTGGTCCAAGCGCTGGATGATCAGCTCATGGTGGTGCCGCATAGTCGCAAGAAGCCTGGGTCTGCGTCTCCCGTGGTTATTGGGCTTCCACTTAGCTAGTTTCCGACCAAATCTCCAGCTTCATTCCTGAAACACGGCAAACGGGGGGGTGTAAGACTACAAGGACAGTGGCTTTACCTATGACCGATGGCGGTAACAGAGTTTCGAAAGTCTAGGGCTGGGGTTGTGGCCGCAGAGCATCGGGTTTCTGGTTTCGACTCGCACACTCGCAGACGCAGGCACGGCTTCTGGGGTCCATTGCTACCTTTACTAATGTTGTGGTGACCTGCACATCGCAATCCAGAAGTTATCCAAAACAAGGTATAAGCCAAATAAGTATAAGCAAAAGCGTATATGTAAACGAGCATCAGCGATGGGTAGGGCAGTTCGTGTCGGTAGTGCTGTTATGGTTGCGAGCCAAAGGCGAACTAACAGCTAAGGCTCACACAAGGCAGCACTACCGACCTTGAGTAGGCAGCTTTGTGCCCTAGGTCTCATTGTTGTTCAGCGACAACTGCTGATTCAAAATATCGGACTCAGATGATCTCTACGAGAAAGTATGGCTTCATGCACTTGCTGTTTTAGAGAGCCTTCCCTTTCGGGTTTCTGGTTTAGGGTTCGAGGGCTTGTGGTTTACGGTTCTTGAACTGACAGTGGCATGGGTAAAGAAAGTGGATCTCACGATTATAAAGATGATTTTTCCTTTACTGGTAGTGTCAATAGCAGCAAGAATACTTGGGTGGCTAGAATACAATCTTCGCACTAACGAGGACTAGCAAACGTCGTTTCGATAGCAGTGAATGAAATGGCAACCACCAACACTTGGAAAAAGGCACAGTGAAGTGTCGGGGTGGACAGCGGCCGCCACGTCGGCATTGGCAGCTGGAGAAGCCCGAGCCTGCAAGAAAGAGGCGTGACATACGTCAGGGCTCGGACTAGAGGGCTTACAGGCATCGCACGACACACAGTTTCGTCTGCGCTGTCACGCCTTGAAAGCTGCCATCGCAAGACGGTGCGGATGATAGGCTGATGGGCTCCAAATATATTCTACGTCTAGCAACGAGCACACAGGACAAACAGCGACACCAGAAGTCGTACTGCCTAGTGGTTCCCTAGGGCAACCATTGCGAAGCCAGAAGCAGGACCGAGTTGGGTCACTGCTTGATGATTCCACGGAGGTGCTTCCGGTAATGTGCTTCGGTGTTTTCGTTTCAAGGATAGGTGAGAAACACCACATGACATAGAAGAAGCTCCACGACATGTCACGCCCCCTGTGACAGAGCCCTGCGGCTGCAGTGTCTCAGTGGCAAGGCAAACCATCAAGTCTGGCCTTAAACCCTAAACCCTAAAGCCCTAAACCTTATAGATCCCTTATAGAGCCCTGATGGATCCCTTGAAAGGAACCCCTAGTTTCGGGATGGTCCTGGTTCTGATTAGCCCCGAAAAGCGCAAGCTCTAGGAGCCCCAGTGCTGGATGCATCCCACCCGTGCAGACCACTGCGGTGAGCTGGAGGTAGGCTAGCTGATCGACTTTTTCTGCATCAAGTTTCACAGTTACGCTGCAAGACTGTTGAGCCTCAAGTTTAATGAGGCTTGGACTGTGAGCAGAGGTCATGTGCATCTCGGGTCGGCAGAAACGTGGAGGGCCTGTTCGATAATGGAACTACTGACGAAGCAAAAGGTAACGCTAACCCAAATCAACATGAGTTGCATGCAGCCCGATAGGGCGTTAGCATCACTCGTGCTCTGCACAGTCTGCGATAGCATGCAAGATTGGGTAAGGTGAACAAATCACTGTGTTGCTAGATCTCCCCCAATCTTAGGCACTCTGCCTGAAAATCTGGTGACGACGGCACATGCCGGGTGAAAACTACAACGTGTTTGATCTGCGATCCACCCCGCCCCACACTTAGATTTACCCTAGGGACCTTTGCAGATTGGCTCACAGAACCGCTACGACCTGAACCAAAAAAACCCTGCTACATCCGCAACTGCCAATGCTTTTCCCTGCTACCTAACAAGGACAACGCTTTTAGGGTTTGGGCTTTCTTTGCCTGGGGTTTGGACTTTTTTTGTTGTTTTCAACTTTGGGGCTCAGGAAGCAGAAGCAAACTCTCAGGTGGCAGAGCTCGCGACGACTTGGGAGCTCTAAAGGCTACTGGTGAAGGCAGCCGTGGAGGGGGGCAGTTTAGGCGTTGTTTAGGGTTTAGGGGTTATTTGACACTCACACTCGGACAAGCCTGGCAAGGTCTGCAGTTAGAGGTTTAGGGTTTAAGGGTGTAGGGGTGTAGGGTTTTGGGATTTAAGATTTGGACATTAAGGAGTTCGAGGATCAACAACGACCCTTTGTAATGTAGGATGTCTGTAGACGCAGCGCGGGGCCGCAATGCCTGCGTGTGAATGTAAAAATTACGCATATATGCGAACACGTGTGTGTATTCACACACACACATACATACAACATACATACATACATACATACATTCATCATACATACATGCATACATACACAAATACATACATACGTACATACATACATACATACCTAGCTACATACACACACAGACATGAGACAGATAGACAGACAGACGTACAGGAACAAACACACATACACATGCACATGCACATGCACATACACATACACATACACATACACATACACACATACATACTTATCTCACACAAATACAGGCCCACAAAGAAACATACATACATATTTACACACTTACGTACATGCAGACATGTAGACATGCATACAAACAGACATACAGACGTACATACACATACACACACATACATTCATACGTACGTATATACGTGTTTACATATAGACATAACCACATACATACACATGCGCACATACATACATGCGTACATACTCACATATATACATACATACATACATACATAGATACATAGATACATACATACATACATACATACATACATATATCCTTACATAATACAGACATTAAACACACACACACACACACACACACACACGTGCACGCACATGGTGCTGATGTAGATGTCTATAAGTACTTAACTCTGCACGCACGGGACGTGTCGAGACCCATGCCCCCCACCGAGATCTTCAGAGGTTAGAGATTCGTCGAAGAGACCGGGGGATACCCCAAAAACGCATCCGTCAGGCAAGATATATCGGCCCTTGCGCGATGCAGCTCGTCTTCCTTGGCGACGTTTCAGGGTTGCTGGGTGTAGTGCTGCAGTAAGCTTTCGGGGCTCCGGAGCTATTGTCATCATGATTCGCAGGTGCTGTGGTGGTTAACGATTTGTGGGATATCTTTGACCAACAGTTTTAAGATTTAGAAGACATCCTTGTCTCCATTATCTGAAAGGCCTGCGGTGGAGTCGGGATTCTCATGAACCCCGCAACTAGACAAACTCACACAACCCACAGATTCATGGGGCGAAGCCTGATGTGCAAATTTCCGTCACTGAACCCGACAGAGGCTTCCGCAGAGCGACAAGGCCCAGCGAAAGCTCGCTAAGCCGAGTTGATGCAGCAACGGTTTAGGGTTTAGGGTTTTCTGGCCTGGTACTTTGCAAGCATGCGTGTCAAACAGGATCGAAAAGCCAGAGTCCTAGAACAGGTGTAAGTTGGAGGGCACAGCATGGCATTTTCTATACTCGGATTCCCACACAGTGTCGAATCCTTTGGGATTTGTATCACAGGCGGGACCAGACTCAGCAGTCCCATCTGAGCAGGTGGCTACGAATTTTTGGAACCGGCCATGGCTTTTGATGAGCCACTTCCTTGGTTGAGAGCAAGGGCGGTCTTTTGCTTGGCTCAGGCTTGGACTCAGCGCTGCAGCGCCCTGGTGCGTTTCCATGTGCCGTCGGAGCGTAGGAGATGGGAATAGGGTATCTGCGCTATCCCAGAAGGTCCTTATAATTATATACTACCATTATGGAATTAAGCGCCAAAAGGCCACGCTTGTCATGGGGTTGGGGACGTGACAATCGTAGTGTATGTGGGGGCCTCTTGGATTTACAATATCTACTGCTCAGTTTCGCAGAGCAACCATGCGAGTGCCCCGATCGGGAATATTCAATATTCGTCCGAAAAGCCAAACCAACACTGTAAGACCTGTACTATATACTCAAACCAAAACTCGGAGAGCCCTAAAGCCTGGGCCCCCAACTCCACAATAGTCCCACATAACCCTTCTTTCGGACTCACATGAGGAAATCATACCAAGGAACCCTAAGCGTGCAGGTTTCTCTAGGGCCCACATCATTGAGGGGCCTTTATTACTAAAATAGGGTGTGGGGGTATATTATACTGCAAATATAACAAGGAAGCCCCAAAACAGTATTGGTAATTCCCAAAGGCTCCATGTACCCATATAGTCGGCCTTAAAGTGCCCACATAAGGCCCAATTACCTACTTTTTGGGCACATGGAATTTCATGGATCATTTACCCTAAGGCTCAAAATAGCCCAAAAGCCTTATATAGGATGGTCTTTGGGCCCAAAAGCCTTAATGTATGAGTCCTTAGAGCCTTAGGGTTAGGCTCCTATGGTAAACCTTGCTCCGAAGATTCTGGTCTGCGGCGACCTGGCCGACTTCCATAGCCGTTGCCTCGGCTCGAGGGCTTCGATGTCGGATGATACGGTTGATGACATGAATCTATAGGGTTGTAGGGTTTGGGGTTTAGGGTGATGGTATAAATCCTGCATTACCTTCAAGGGCCCTGAACTATGGTAATGATGGTATATTCTTTATTACGGGTAATGCAGGATGTATATCAGCAACCGTAGGGAAGGTTTGGGGTCTAGAGTTTCAGCCCGGGTTCAACAAGGTACAGAAAGTATCTACAACTACAACCTCGAACTACTATCCCTAAATCGTACCACAGGTATAGGTTTAATGGTTTGGGGTAACTTCCGGAACATCTGTGCTGCATGGGAGCGCGGGTTCTCCCGGCTGTTTCGGACAGAAAGGCAGACTGGGTAGTGCTATTGAGGCATTGACACATACACAAACACGACAAATTAAACAAGTATGGCCGCTCACATGGCAGTTGTTTTTGTTTGCCTGCTTTCTTGGTTCTAGGGTCCTAACCTTATAACTGGCTAACCAAACCTCGAGGAATTCTGCGGCTGCTCATGAATGCTTGGTTGCCGCTCCGCTGAAACGGAGGCAGCCCATGAAAAACTCCTCCAGTTCCACAACTCCGCCTGCATCAGAATCCAAAAGCCTCAGCTTCGCAGCTTCGCACGCATTGTGTATGGTTGCGGGTTTGGGAGTGTAAGACTAGGGTGCAAGATGGGCTTCTTCCTGATCTCTGATAACTGTCGTCTAGGGTGGTCGCACGCACCCCACCTAGAGGAACCCGGCAAAGCCTTATGCTCGGCAACTTATCCACCCATGGTCAGCTTCTTACACTCTTTGAGGGATTCTCTTTCTGTATACCAGAAAGAATGACTTTCGCTCATAAGGGCATCCCAAAAAGGAACCTACAAGAACTGACTACCCATTTGGGATCTGGCAGACACCACAATGGCGCACACCAATCTCGAAGAAGCTTGTCACGGGTTCATTATGGCTGCATAGACTTTTACAAGCAGTCTACAGGGTCATATAGCCTGAGAACCACCCCAAAGTTCTGCAAGCCCCACAGGTGCCTTGCATGTATGCTTCAACATCGACAAGCTATACGAGAAGCTTGCGACAAGTTACCAAAAGCACGACCCCAGCATTTCGTCATTCCTAGAAACCCGGGAGCTAAGCACAGGCCAGGGGCTTGAAAAAAGCCCATGGGTCCCACACGTCCAATCCCAACATTTCGAAGTAGTCGCGAACCGTTTGCGAGCTGATCTTCTCCTCAAACCTCGCGTTGGGATGCTCTGGTTTAGCAGCTTTTGCGTTTATGGTGACAGGGTTTCGGGCTCAAGAGATCGGTATGGGGCAGAAGTACCACAAATGGTCGTTGGGGAGTGCTATGTGTGAAGGTTCATGCGTCGAAGTTTGGCACCAACTCCACATCGCAACTTATTGCTGAAGGTGGGCGCTTAGCCTACCGAAGTCTCGGGTGGACGCGAGCTATAGCAGGGCAATGAGCCACATGCCGGCAACATCCTGGAGCCAATGCCAGCTGATTGGGAAAGCCTTCTCTGTGCAGCCCTCATTCCCTCAACGCTGACTCCAAAGACCAGAAAGCACTGCACCAGACATGCTCTTAGTGGAACTCATGAAGGTGCCCACGATTTGTCAAACGAGGCAATCTACAGCATGTCATGCTGCTGCCGCGGTGGCTGGCTACCCTCCTAACTCTTGAGAATCCGTCGTGTCTCATGATACTACGCTCTCCGAACATGGGTGCAGCCGGGCATCATCGGGAAGGTGATTCCGCCAACATCGTGGTGTCCGATCTTGTCAAACAACGTCCGCAGCTTTTGAAGATGTTGCTCCTGCGCCAAAGTCAGGGAAAGGCAGCCTACTGGCGAAGACCCTTGGCTTTCGGTGCAAGACCATCGGCTCGCCATAGGTACACATGCACACATTCGACGACGACGCCACTCATCTGCAAGCATTCTGAACACTTCGATACTCAAGTCTCGCAGCTGAAGCGGTAAATCCTCCATGCCCTGCTGATCCCAGCAAGCCTTGTTGTCGAGCATGTTTTGAATCAATGTGGCGTGATCACTCTGTGCCGACTCAATGGCCGACTGGCAGAACACCTTTGCTCATCCGGGCATGCAGTCTAAGGTCTCTCGCTCTCTCTCTCTTTATCTTTTTCTCCCTCTGTTTTTTTCTCCGAGAAAGAGGGAGACTCCCTACGTATGTGTGTGTGTGCGCGCGTGCGTCTGTGTGTTTATGTGAAAGATGCCCACACATCAGCTTGCACGTGTAAACAGATATATGACGTTGTACTTCTTCCCCTGGCTGTCATTTCACATTGACATGCCTGCATATACGTATATGATTAGACACATGTCGCTGAAGATGTTGTTTGTATATCTATTTACATACACTTGTATGCATGCATGTATGTAAGTATGTATGTATGTACGTATGTAGGTAGGCGTGTATGTATGTGTGTATGTCTGTGCATGTGTGCATACTACCACGTATGTATATATATATATATGTACATGTATATGTGTTTATGTGTATGTATATATATATATATATCTACCTGTACGTATCACAAGCAGCATGCTTGAACGTGTACAGGTGGATAAGAACATGTAACTATACATATATATATATATATATATATATATATGTGTGTGTGTGTGTGAATGTGTAAAATGATATAAGCACAGGTTTGCAGATACTGATGTGCATAAACACGCCCACCGACAGACACAAACACACACATATACATATATGTATATATACATATATAGACATGCACATTATGTGTGTATGTGGAGAGAGAGAGAGAGAGAGAGAGAGAGAGAGAGAGAGAGAGAGAGAGAGAGAGAGAGAGAGAGAGAGAAAGGGAGACAAAGAACTGAACGGTATGTATCTAAACAATGCAAACATGTGTGTGTATGCGTGAATATACATAGATATGTGTTTGTAAATATGTATACCCATATACATTCATGCAAATGTATTTATGTGGGTATGAATGTCGATGTGTTTGCGGCCAATCCGTGCCTGATGTGGTGCGTATATATATATATATATATATATATATATATATATACATATGTAAATATGTACACATATGCGCGCACATGTGTGTGCACGTGTGTGTGTGTGTGTGTGTAGCTGCGTATGCATATTCATACATATATACATATACAAGCATACAAATTATATAAACATACACGCATTTACACACTTAAACATAGATACAGACACACACACACACATCCCAAACGACAGCAGTATCAGCAACAACAACAGCAGCAACAGAAACGTCGAAGAGTAGTGATTACTAAAAGCAACATGATACCAGCCCAAGCAACAAGCAGATCAAAGCAACAATACCGGTGAGCAAGGACGAGCGCAATATCACCATCAACAGCCGAATAGACGTGTGCCAGCAGAAACAACGGCAAGAGCTGCACGAGGAACGTAACGGTAATCACACAGCAGGCGCCACAACAACTATACTAAGCTCGAGCAGCATCAACAGTACATGAACCCAGCAAGCCAGAAGATCATCACCACCAAGGCACCAAGTAGCCATATCTGCAACAGCACCAGCAGTGGTGACGACACATGCTAGCAGCAGCAGCCTAACCAGCCCACGTGTAAGTAATGCACCCACACAAAATGATAGCAACAGCAGCAGCAACATCTTCATGGTCGTGAATACACAAGAGCTTCACAAATACTTTTGCAAGAGACGAGTTGAATAAATCATTAGAGTCTAATTAGAGACCGACGAAGGACAAGTGTCTTAGACAACCCATCGATCAGTGTAGCCAAGGAGCAGCGGTAACCACGTTCAACACAGCCAGGTACGAGAAAGCAATGAACCAGATAAAGCATGCCTTCCAGAAGTCTGAGACGTATCCGAGGGGCTTCAAGACCTCTTCCCAACTAACGCCGCCAGTGATGCTCATGAAAAGCGCGATCATGCTTGTAAGAAGAGTTCCGAAATAGCGTGTCGATGCATCGAGGACGTCTGCTGGCAGTTCCGGATTCGCTGGGTCACTCTTGTAGTCAAAAACTGCCTGTGAAAAGAGTATGGCAAACACATAGATGATCAGGCCAAGGAGGAGCAACGCCCAGAAAAGAGCTTTCATGGTGTGCAGAATCGATTGAACCAGCGTCCGTAGGGCCATGACGAAGCGAAAGATACGGACAAACTGGACGGTCTTCAGCACCCGTGTCAGCCGGACGATGCGCATGGCTTTCAATGTCGACAACCCGGAGATGCTCTCCCAGCTATTGTCTTGCACCATTTCTTGGATCACCTCCACAATCACGTCCCAAAGGGATGAGACAACCTTACTTTGCCCAGTATCCCAAAAAGGAAAATAAAAAGGCCGAACTGTGGGATTCTTGTGCACCCCAAAAAATTAAAAAAACACAGGCTCCCTACTCTACTCTTAGAGCACCACCAAAAAAGGTAAAAGGTTGCCTACTCCCAGGACATCCCAGGACCCCCCCCCACGTGCCCTTTGCTAGAGCCCTTGTGGCCCTCAATAGTGAATATTTGGGGTCTATTAGAGGGTAGTTGGGGGGTCTAGGTACCCCAAACCCCAAAACCCTAAACCCTACCGAGAAACGATAACGGTATCCAGGAGAGCCCAGGCCCAATCCTCGGAACAGTAGTAGCGGCCGCGGCTATCGGCGAGTCGCAGTGCCAGCTCGAGCCTTTGCCATAGTTTAGTATCATTTTAAATTTTTATGGGTACTTAAACCCAATAAGGAATCAAGATTTAAATTTTAAACCCTATCCCAACCATGAACTAGGAGCAGGAAGAGAACGGAGAAGCTGTAGTGGAAAACCGTGTAGCTTGTAGGCCGTGGCCCTTGATCGTCGAGAACCCACTGAATATCCATGCCTCTGCGTCGAATTCAAAATTAAGTCAGGGTCATATTTTGAGCAATGTAGGGAACTAAAGTAACTAAAAGCTATCCCAAATCGGTACCCGGTGCCAATGAAGATGGAGTTGGCCACGACGACAAGGCCGAAGAATGCGTCGAAGCTTGGATTCTGAACAATGAGAGATGCCCATGACATGCTGGGACCCCCCAGCCTCCTCGCAAGGCTTGGTTTTGGATGTTGTTTTCCCCCTTCGGCGCTAGGGTTTTGGGTTTGCAGGTGTGAAGAGCTCTCTAAAGAGAGGAGCTCAAAATGATAGGCAACGAGCTTTGCACAAATCTTTACTTATTGCCTGTTTGCGCCGCTTGTGTTGTCAGAAATAACATGCAAGTCTGGAGGTCAAGTCGGACGCCGACTGCAGCAGTGTCAGGCTGGAAGCAATCCACCTGGACACCCTGAATCATTCTCACATCCGACATCCAAGTTGCAAGCCCAAGCCCTGAGCTGGAAGTCCAGGAAATCCTGAAGCTCAAACCCGCAGACTAATCCACAAATCCTGGCCGCAAAGCTGATGCCTCCTTGGAGTGCCGTAGTCACCTACGTGGTCTGAGAATCGCTTCCGCATTGTCATAGACTCAACCCAGTCCTGAGCGGTTTGTCTCACGCTTGTGTCTCTCTAGGCTCCGGATTGAGTAGCAGTGTCTGGGGCTTAGAGGCATTGCAGGCTCGCCGTCTTCTTACGATGGAAGCTTACTGCTTTGACTGATGAACGAAGAAGCTTTCATATTCAGGCCTTACTCTACCAGCAGTCGTATTAGCGTCGATGCTTCCATTGCTGGTACGATGGCGATGGCGACGGCGTCAGCGGAAGCCGCACAGGTGCAACAATCATGCAGCAATGGACTACATCAAACTCAGAACGATCGCAGAGGTTGAAGCAGCACCATTGCCTAATGCACAGTGAAGACGTCGTGGTGGCCGTCGTTGTTGTAGCCGTCGTCGAGTAACAGTGGTAGTGGCAGTGGCAGCAACAAGAGCAATGATTCGTAGTATTTGGTAGTAGTAGCAGTAGTAGTAGTAGTAGTAGCAGTAGAAGTCGTCGTCGTAGTCGCAGCTGTAGTAGTATGCAGTAGCTGGTAAGTAGTAGCTAGCAGTAGCAGTGGTAGTGGTAGTAGCAGTAGTTGGAATAGCAATAGTTGACAGGAGGAAGAATATGCAGCAGCAGAAGTAGCTTGTGGTACCCCTACTGACCTACTGCTGCTGCTACCACTTCTGCTACCGTTGCTGGTACTGCTGCTGTTACCGCTGCTGCGCTTGCCGGCTACGGCTACGGCTACGGCTACTGCCACTGCCGCTGCCACTGCCGCTTGCACGACCACTTGCACCGCCACTTGCACTGCCACTTGCACTGCCACCACTGTTACTGCTACTGACTGCTTATTGCTGCTGCTACTGCTGTTGCTGCAGCTGCTGCCGCTACTCCATTATGGTAGCCCTAGTGACAGCAGCACCTGCAGCAGCCACGGTCGCGGTGCAGTTAAACTCGCTCGCACTGCCGTACTACAGGTAACTGGGTGTTCTGATGGTGGCATCGGTGCTGCTGGCAGCACTGGCATCACCAGGCAGGCGAAGCAGCAGACACAACAACAACAACAACAACAACAACAACAACAACAACAACACCACCACCACCACCACCACCACCACCACCACCACCACCAGCACCACCAGCACCACCAGCACCACCAGCACCACCAGCACCACCAGCACCACCAGCACCACCAGCACCACCAGCACCACCAGCAGCAGCAGCAGCAGCAGCAGCAGCAGCAGCAGCAGCAGCAGCACCACAACCACCACCACCAACAACAACAACAGCAACAGCAACAGCAACAGCAACAGCAACAGCAACAGCAACAGCAACAACAACAACAGCAACAACAAGAACAACAACAACAACAACAACAACAACAACAACATCATCATCAACAACAACACCAACGACAACACCAACACCAACACCAATACAACCACCACCACCAACAACAACAACATCAATTTCCACGTTAGCAGCAACCACAACAGCAGCAGCACCGCCACCACTAACACCAACACCGACACCACCACCACAACCACCACCACCAACAACAACAGCAACAACAACAACAACACCAAGACAAACAACACCGACACCACCACCACAACCACCACCACCACCACCAACAACAACAACAACAGCAACAGCAACAATTTTATTGGACGCTGAGCGAGCGGGCTCTGCTCATTGCGGGCGAGCAGAAACTTCGGAAGCGTGCCATCCCCGAGTGTGCCGTGAGCCAGCGCCACCGAGGTGAGCCATAAGCCAGCACCACTCCCTTAGAATCTGACCTGCCGACATTCTTATAGAGGTTACGCGGTCTTCGCCCGGCGGCCTTGTAAAGAAAAAGAAACAGACTGGCGCTTTGCGCGAGGGGACTGCCCATGCGAGAATCGCAGGTACCTCCTTCATCCGTTTCTGAGAACTACGACCGAAGTCAGGCCCCGAGGCCTCGCGTAAAACAAGCCAAAACGAACTGACCTAACAAAACCAACAGAGAAGACCGCGCAACCCCTATAGGATCCTCAGTGAAGGAAAAAGAGGAGCCGATGCTACAAACGTTAAAAGAGAAAGGGCCTAAGTCAAGAAGAGCAGCGCTGCAGACTGTACACAGCAGCAACAGCTCTTGGGCACCAGCCTCTAGGGGATAGGCCACAAGAAGTTGACTTCAGTTACAAAGGCGTTGCCCGTTTTTTACGCGAGCGATGCCCGAAACTCCTAACGTGACAGCCCGACTCACAAAGTCGTCGTCATGTAGCCTCCGTCACCCTCAGTGTGAGTCATTGCGTCCAATACTCACGAACTGGCAGCCGGTGGGTCGTACTCAGAAGAGCCGTCTCCCAGAGTTCCCGTCTAGTGGCGTCCCACACTAGGTAACTCCCGACTACCAGCGATGGGCCGTAAGGATAATTCGTCGTCAAGCAAAACACGTGGGCCGTCACTCCTAGCACTGCCTGACCCCGTCGGTAACAGGACAGTAACGAACACACCTGGGAGGGCCGTAGCCGTAGCCCGACACCCATAGCACAGCAAGCGCGTCCGCTTAACGACTGTACCCAGATGTGACGTGGAGCCGTACCAGGTAGACACCGTGCTGGAACTGAAGACGTTGGCCAACTCTGCTGAACCTGAGTCCCCAGTGTCCCAATCTGCGCCTTGTCTTGTAGACAAGTCTGGCCCGGCGGCCCCCGAGAGGCCTCCCCCTCAAGAGAGGATAGCCCCTCTAGGCCCTCAAGGGCACCCCATAGCAAGAGGAGTCCCTGGAATGCCCGTCGGGGCCAGCATTGGGAGGATGCTGACGCGTTGTGAGTCACCACGTTGCGCCTAGCCTGTCCTGAGTCTGACTTGCTCCCAGGCGCTGGCGGCTGAACAGAAGTGAAGCGCAGAAAACACTCAACCGTGACGAAGAACTCTCGATCGCACTGGCTTCGTAGCAGCTGGTGGCAGTCCACTGTGCCGTTGAAGGAAAAACTAGTGCTCGAAGAAGACTGCATGAGAATACCAGACGATCCGTGTCCTTCTTGCGGAGGTGTACCAGTTAAAGCGCAAAACCAGAGCGCCAGCAAAACTGCGCAGGAGAGACCGTGAGCTGTACCTGGGTGTCTTGTCGTGTAGCTGGAAAGTCGAAGAGAGGAGCGGAACGAGGCCTCAACTCGAAAGCTTCCTTCAGGATACCCAGGTGCAGAAGATGGCCAACCCATGACTGGGGCCGCCCCTTGAATGGCTTGGTGCGGCAGGTCCTTTTGTAAATGTAAAAGCATCGGCAGGAGAAAAGCACTGAGGCACAGTCGACGCGCCTTCCGCTAGTTTCGCCGGAAAGAGAAAACTCGATCCGACTCCCTTCACCCCGCGGAAAGGTGAGAACCCTACCGCGTACCTCTTGCCAATGTTGTGTAACTGCAGACAGAGGCCCGGGAATTGGGACCCGGTAGATCACAGCGACACGTGGCTCCAGGGATGGCTATGGCTCAATAAGAGGACGGCCCCTTAAGCTTCGCAGAAGGGGGACGTTGCGAGCCTCTAGCGTTGGTACCCAGAGCCTTGTTAGCAAAGCTACACAGCCTGCTGTGATCCATAGCGGCTACAACAACAACAACAACCACGACACCACCACCACCACCACCACCAGCAGCACCAGCAACAGCACCAGCAATAACAGCAACACCACCAACGCTACCAACACCAACACCAACAGCAGAAGAGGCCAAGGATTATTTCGAAAGCCCAGCACTGCACGAGATTGAAAACCTGACACATCCAGCTTGGGTACTACAGGAAGCATGGGACTGCTGTCGACGACTATGGTGCAATAATCAGAGACACTGTAAATCCCACAACCCCCCCCCCCCCCCGAAACCTCAAAAACTTGCAATACTCATCCTGCACCAAGCCCCTGAAATGCCTGAGGCCCTTCAACCCTTCTTCTTGCGACTGGTGCGCTGCATCAACTCGTAGTTGAGAGTCCTTCCATGGCTCGTTAGAGTAGATAAACCCTTTTTCCAGAACCCAAGCCTAGTTCATGGTTGGGATAGGATTAAAAACGTACACCTTTATTCCTTATTGGGTTTAAGAACCCATGAAATCATGAAAATGTAAAATGTTACCCAACTATGACAAAGAAGCCTGGCTAGGACAGACCTACGACGCAGGGTGCTTTGCCTGGCTTACGCGTCATGTCGACAGAACAACGAGAACGTACCCTGTAGGCCGAGCTGCAGGGATTACCTACATACCTGCATGCCTGCATATGCACATCCATACAACCCCACATGCAAACGCGCATGGTCTCAACCCATCAGCGTGTCTCCGTCCTCCTCGGTGTAAGAGCGAAGGGGTGCTTCGTTGCCACGTGCCGGAGAGTCTCGGCAGCATAGCTGAGAAGCAGGGCTTCGGGATTTACGGGTCTAGCCATGGGCTCCAACTTGGTTTTGGGTGCAGGGACTGCATATAGGGCCTATATAGGGCCCAGTCAAAGCCTGAGACATGGGCATGGTCTCTGGCAACGGTTTTTTGAGTTTATAGGGTTTAGGGTGTTTTGACACTCACACTCGGACAAAGCCTGGCAAGGTCTGTAGCAATCCTGGTCCTTCGTTCACAAGCAACAGGCATTTGGGTTTAGAGTTTAAGGTTTAGGGGAGTCTCTGGGCACAAAAATGTGTTTCAACAAGGCTTCTGGGGATTGAGCGTCAGCAGCATGAGAGTATGACTGAACTACATGAACAAGACCTGCGCATTGCTAAAAGCCGCACCGACAAGCCGGAGGAGCATCTTCCCAACAGGGGGCTGAAGCCAACTCAACAAAGAACTTGTTTCATCCTGACTTCGCCGTGGACTGCAGCACGCAGTGGCGACATCCCCCGCTGCGGATCCTTTGAGAACCCGAAGCTTGCACCTTGAACCGAGCTTCGGCTCACTTCTGAAGGTGGAACGTCAGAAAATGACGCCGACGTCTGCTTCCTGATTTCGACTTAATGAAGTTCAGCTCAAAGCATAGACCGCCAGAAACAGAAGTATGTTGTAGTATATGCTTTGTATTTTGCACATATCAGGCTGTATTAGGTTGTATTTTGTATGCCACAGACCCCAAACTGTTCTGCTGCGGTCTGTCCTTGTCTCTGGTGTGTTTGGGAGCACTTTCGCAGGTCGCGACCTTGAACTAGGTGCATCACTTCCATGCCTTGGCGCATGGCAACTTAACTTCCGTTGAGTTCGGAAGCAAAATGGAGCTTGCATGTTTTGGGTTTGGGCATTGGAGAGTTCAGCTGTGCGGGCGTAGAGCTTTGGGGGCTTTTCTGGGTGCTTGAGGCTTGGACAAAGGGCTCTGCCCAATTTCTGAGAGTAAAGCAGCTGAGTACGACTATATACTAGCTTACTGCTTAGTTGCCAGGCATTTAATCTCAGTTGAATTTTTGGCTTCGGCACCAACAATGGAGAAGCCCAGCGAGGTCCAACCGATCTTGATGATCCATGGGACGCTGCGTTGATTAGGCCTCTTTGATCTCTTACAGAGCAACGTTGTTCGTGGTGTAAAGACTCCTGAATATGGACCTCTGTAGAATCACATCCTGAACGTAAGGACCCAAGACCCGGACCTCAAGACTGAAGCCACTGTACACTGAATCAGGAGAAGCCAGCTCCCTCAATCTGGCTGCAGGATCTCACTCGACTTTCCGCACATTCGGACCCCAGGGGTCCACCTCTGAACTAAGAACCCTCGGCCGGGTAACGCCGCTCGACTGAGAAGCACATCTTGTTGGCACAACCGCTCCATGACCAGTTCGTGGTGGCTCTGCATGGTTGCAAGAAGCCTGGGTCTGGATTTCTCAGGTTCTGCAGGGTCTTGTGGAAGCTGTGGTCATCAGGGAATGGTGGCTTTGGGGCTCCACTACAAAGCTGCTATCTTTGAGCTTCATCGAATGCTATGAACTCAGAAGAGGTACAGCGCCGTGTCAGGGTGGACAGCGGCTCTCTTTTCATCGTCCGGAGGACTTGCCGGAGAAGCATCGGCCTAGAGCGAGGGTGGGTAAGGTCCAACTCGAGAATGAGTGCGTGTGTATCTCTGTACAGGTGTGCGCAGACTACTGTTGCTTGCCTTTGCTGACCGTGGCTCCAAAGTGGAAACTTTCATGAACTACAGGCCCGGGCTTGTGAGGCCTCGGAAGCTGCCATTTGGACACACAGCGAGTGGCAGGCAGCAAGAAGTCTGCTCTAGAAAATAGAATTAGCTGTCATAGGCTAAGCATTTGTCGACAAAATCTTGATTGAAGCTCTGTCAATAAGCCCGCGGCTGCAGATTTCCGTGCAACAGAGGATACGAATGACAGCTGGAACGTACCGGGGGAGCTAGCGAACTCCTCTCATGCCTGCACCTGCTGCTCCTGTATGTCTGGTACTGCCGGTGGTAGTGGAAATGGCTGCCATTCAGTACTACGTGTAGTAGAATCCAAGTCGAGATGGGCTGCCTCCACGACACTGAACACCACCTCTACTGTCCGCATCACAGGGCGGGCATCGTAAGCTGAATTGCTTTTCCGTGGCGGCAAGCGTCTTTGCACAGGTCAACAGTTCGCTGCGCGACATTCTCTGCCGACCGGACACTACATCGACGGGAAAACTCACAGGCCAAGGCATGCCTCTTCAACACAAATTGGCTGTAAAACACTCCAGACTGTTGCACTGGTTGCGTTTTCATTAATTACTTCTTGCATCTAGTTCTTGCATCGAGCCATGAGAAGAAGAGTTTGGGTTCGCGGGTGTGCGTGAATACGTGTGTGCGTGGCCTGGAAGAGGGGAGACAGAGGGAGGGAGAGAGAGAGAGAGAGAAAGAGCGAGAGAGAAGAGAGCGACAAACAGAGAAAGACAGAGAGAGAGAGAGAGAGAGAGACGTGGGTGTGCGTGAACGTGTGTATGTGCGCCTGGAAGAGGGGAGACAGAGAGAGAGAGAGAGAGAGAGAGAGAGAAAAGGGAGCGACAGAGAGAGGGTGAGACAGAGAAGAGAGAAAAGAGGAGAGAGAGGGAGAGGTAAGAACTTGCATCCTCTAACCAGTGTCTACGCTGGCACCAAGAGCCTGCCTTGTCATTCTGACAATGTGAAACAGCAGCAGCCTGTTTCAGCCGCACAAAAATCTAAATTCAAAAATGACCCGACATGGGTTTCAACCTCTGTCCACCAAGCTCAAACCGGAAGTATGACTAACATATCCCAAGATGTGTCAGCTTCCTCAGCACCGTTCTTCGCGTTATTCGGGTCCTATCCTTCGGTGAGGCATCTCGCATTATGCCAGTGTCTCAAGAAAGACTTACAAGCGGTCAAGGCATCCAGTGTGCCCCGCCTTCAGACCGGAGCACACGCTCAGGCATAAACACACGCACAGCTCGAAATTCCAGCTAACAGGCGAATAGTCAGAATCACCCTGAAAGCGGGTGATGTGGCAGATATTGGCGACCAGCCGGAGACAACTGTAAGAACAAGTTCTTGAAACTTCAAAGCTGTGCACAGGACACACCCCGCGAGAGAGAGCTAATGAAATCTCTCAATGTGGTCATGTCATCTCTCAGCTTGACGATTTCATCCTCCTAGGGTATAAGGGTTTAGGGCTGGTTTGCCTCAGGTTTTGGGTCTGGAGTTTTGGGTGAGGGTCGTCATCTGCAGAGTTGCGTGTCTGACAGGACCCTGACAACCATTAGAGCTTTGGAGAAGCAAACTCTTTACTGCACAATCCCAGTTGGGGCATCCAGTGAACGTCACGATGCCACAGTTGTCCGTGATACTTTTCCATAAGAATGACAAGACCGATGATGTACATCTCCTCCTGCTCCATTGCGCCTTCTCCTACGATCCTGCTGTAATCAGAAACATGCTCCTTATGCCTCATGACAAGTCATCGTCATCATGATCACCATCATCACCATCATCATCATCAAGATGAACAGAATTCACTGCCACAGTCGATCTTGGTATTGATGCGGGAACCCGGCCTGGATGCTTAGGCTTTCACCCACCCAACACATGCGATCACAAGGAGCAAGGCCTTATGCTTGCTGAGGTCTGAAGACACGTCCAACTGTCAACGCTCGCGAGTGGTGGGAAGTTGGCTTCATCAACCGATAGTTACTATTTAAAAGCCCATGCGATGCTTGGATGCGCGCAACCGGTACCCACTAAACAAGTCCCAAAAGGCCTTGTAACAAAGCCGTAGGACCTGAACACTGATTCCCAAGCGCCGCCAGGCGTCCATGTATCTTTGGAATCGTCCCTGGCTGCGGATGAGCCAAGTCTGGTCTTGAATGAGCTTCCCCACATCCATGGCTTTGGCCTGAGCTCCCACCATAGCAGGAATCCTAAGTCCTAAGGTCAGGAGGACTGGGCAAACATGCCCCCGATTAGAAAGTAGGATGCAGGTCTGCAGGTTACAGGACACCGGCCATCAGCAGGTCGAACCAAAGAATTCGATCCAGAATCTAGAATGGGATCTCGCTCGTGCATGGGCTGAGCGTCCACAGCGATCATGTCGCCCTAGTGCCAGAATGTAGCGCAGAGAGGCTTTCCCCGGCCTAAACCCCAAAGGCTGAAAGGCCCGAAAGCTCCAAAACCGTACGCCAGTCAGGTCACAGCTCCGCTAAATCTCAGGCAACCCAGGAAGAACTCCTTCAGGAAGTGAATTCTGAATAGATTGCCGTAACAGTATAAGAGGCCTGCACCAGTAGCATAAAGGATGTTCGCGAAATACTTTATCAACATAGCATCACGTTGATTAACCATAGCATGCAGCATTAACTGACAATTCATAAGCGGTATAGAGATCAGAGATCCGAAGAAGCACTGCATCCCAGGCCCGGGTATACTCAGAAACTCTGCATTCCCTAAAAACCCTACACCCCAAAACATCCCAAAACCAGAGGTGTCCTAAACCCCAAACCAATTTACCCGCAAACCAGAGGTCCCCTAAAGCCTACTTAAAGGATCATGGGACTTAGTAAGTAGGTTATAATTGGGGTTCTAAGTCCCCTAAGTGGGGTTATCCTAATTATAACCTACTTATAACCTTAATTACTAAGTCCCATGAGCCTTTAAGTATACACCCACCAGAGGCTCCCTAAACCCTATCAGCCCTATCTCTGGTGGGTTTCGGATTTCGGGCTCTCTGGGCTGGCATAACTTCGAGGGTCCTGTTATGGCTTAATGCTTAGAAGGCTTACTATTATACGGGCTGTAAGGGGATACTATACTTCTAAGGGTTACCATAAGGGATGTAAGGGCGTACTACTGCTGGTTCAGGCCCCTGGACAAAACGGCAAGGCCGCAAAGCGGTCTTCACTGCATAAGATGTGGGTGCCATGGTTCGACCCTACCCACTCCGCGAACATGCACCTGCCCTCCTTCCCTGAAACGCGTCCTCGATCTCCACAAAGCCGCCACCATCCGAGTCCAGCAGCTTGAAAAAGGACCATGGATCCCAAACCTGGGACAAGAAGTTGAAGTTGAAGAAGTTCGGTTTGGGTTTAGGGTTGGTGGTTTGGGGTTTAGTTTAGGGCTCATGAAGTTGAAACCTGGATCAACAAAGGCGACAACCTTAGACCTTGCTCCCAAAGTCCTAGACCTTAAAGCCTTGATATAGGGGCCTAGCTAATTACCTGCACTCTTGTGGGGGATTCCTTAATACGGTTGTAGTCGTAGTTTCAATTACCCCAAATCCTGTTCTAATTATTAAGGCCCCTATAGTATCCTACAAACCCAAGAAGCTTCCACCCCAACAGGTGTGCACCCGAAGTTCGCATCCTGAAGACACGAGCCCCCCAGGATTCTTTCGGGGTTCTGGCGCAGCCGAATTTTCCCTGCAGACTTCTGCGGGGTTTCCAAAAATCCAAAACCGCTCTTCCTATCAAGTTTTGACTTTGGCATTCAACGTCTTCCGTTACGCTAAGCTTCACATTAAACCCCGATTACTATCAACAACACTAGACTCTGTGGCACTTGGGACATTTCAGGCCGCAATAGAAGACAACACCGTTGAGAGGAAGGGTCCCTCGAAGACCTCGGGACAAAGATCTGACCAGGAAGCTGGATCGTGCTGGAATTCCGTGTTTGGGGAGTTCTGGGGCACAGAGGCTCTCAAAAGTTATATATATATATATATGTATATATGTGTGTTATGTACTTTCTAGGAAGCATGGATCGCCGTTGGAGCGTCGGAATTGGGTTTTGAATGTGAAGACGCCCTATGCATCCGGGCAGCATCCAAGCCCAGCGTCTCAAAGTACTCACGAACTGGGCCGGAGTTGATCTTCTGCTCGAACATGCCAAAAGTGATCCCTCCGGCTTCTTCGGCTCCGAGCTTGCTAAAGAGAGTCCGAAGCTTCCTTGGCAGTGCTTTCCAGTACGGATGAAAATCGTTGCACATGGCTTTGGCTTTTGCGCCTACAAGCTGTGTTGGCAGACACAGTCTTACATGTTGATGAAACACTGTCTCATATATACTGTCTGCGTAGAACCAGTTTCACGAAGAATGTGCACAGCTCCTGCACAATAAAAAACCTCGACACACCACAGGAAAATCGCGACGCCAAGCTTCCGCAGGTGCGACTCCTTGTTGTCGAGCATGTTCTGCACAACTGTGGCGTGGTCCTTCTGCGCCGACTCTATTGCTGATTGGCAGAAGACTGCTGTCACCTGGGGCATTGAAAAAAAAAACTGATGAAGGCACCGACCCCATCAAACTGCTAAAGAGTTTGGGGGGGGCAGTTTAAGAAGAAGAAACGTTGATGAAGGCACTCAATCCAGCAAACTGCTGTGGTCTTTGACGGGGGCAGCCGCCAAGTGGTGCAGCAGACTAGAAGGACCAGGGCAATGGGTGTCACAAGCTCGCAAGCTTGCACTGCATGTGATGCTGCTTGGGAAGTAAGGCAGGCGCAAAGTCAGCCGTAAAACCACGCAACCGAACTACAGCAGAAGCACGCAACCCATCAATCGGCGAAAAGCCAATCGAATCGACAGGCACTTGGACAGCTTGTGAGTTGCGAATACAACAGCTGCCACAACAAGAAGGGGCATGCTGCCGCCAATGACATTGGTTGATAAGAAACACGGGACGCATACTGGAGGAAGTACAGAAAACGTCATGCGTAGGCTGAACGATGATTCTGCAGGCAACGCATAAGCTCAAGCTGCCGCTTGCCGAAGACCCACGAACATAGGCCCAGTAACGTTTTCTTTCGGTCTATCTGATCTGTCTATCGGCCCACCTATCAATATCTGCCTATTTATCTACCTATCCACATGCACAGCCATGCACGCTGTTTTTTGGCACAGATTCGAGAAGCAAATAGCTGGCGAGGCAGAGAGAGAGTGAGAGAAAGAGAGAGAAAGAGAGAAGGAACGGCATGTATTGATGAAAACAGGCAGGTGAAGGTCTTGATACATGTATGTACACAAGACTGCTGCACACGTTCATGAATTCCGTCTCATTCGTTCGATTTTAAACAGAGAGACTACACGCTGAGTCTGTGAGTATGTAAGTGCGCATCCTTGTGTCTTGGCTAGGTGGGTCAGATCCTTGTTGAGCCGCTTTCTGATGCCACGCCTTCTCTTTCTCTCTCTGTCTCTCTCTGCCTCTCTCTCTCTCTCTCTCGCTCCCTCTCTCTGTTCCCCTGTGTCCAGCGGATTGTGTCTCTCTGTTTGTTCCAAACGTGTCCAAGGGATTGAACGGACACTGTGCTGTCATGGCTCAAAAGCGTGAAGGGAAATGCACCCTGGTTTTGCAAACAGAGCTCTGGTTGCCACCGAGCTGCAACGTTTAACACCTCAGCTCACGTTCACTTGAATCCCAAGAGAAACAATGGCCACTGTAACACCTTTTAGCCAATATGTTTTGATTCACAAGTTGGCCTCATAACGCCGTCAAGTAGCGGCAAAATATGTGAAGGCCACATAGAAGATGAAAGCAAGCCCCCAATACCATGACACCTCTGACAGCGGCCGAATAGCCACTTCCCAGCTAACTCCTCGGCTGCATAGAGAAGATGAAAGACGTGAAAAGATGAGGGTAGGGCTGACTAGAAACCCCTCTCCACTGTGCTTAGGCTTGACGGCCATTTTGGAGTTTAGGGAAGTCCTCTGTATGCTTCTGGCTTTAAGCTAGTTTGTTGTTCTGGATGGGATTCTCCCTGCTGTTACAGCCCGTTTTGCTTTAGGAATATTTAGGAGCCATGACTCAAGATGACCGCGACTATGCCCAAAACGATGCTAGTGGCTGCTTGAAGTGAAGGTATGCGTGGGGGATTGATCTCGACTTGGTTGCTGCTCTCCCCACCAGAGCTGTAATGAATGTAGGTGTGGCTGGCTTGCACTCTCCACAGACTGAACCCTGTCTCTCCCTCTTACTTCCACACGTGCAATCCTATGCAGGCAGAACCGGCGGCCGTTCCTTTTGCACTCACTGCCGGCGGCGGTTCGTCTGTGCAACGGGATAGCTCTGATTGCTCAGGATAGAAGACACATATAGCACTTAGCTATGGGCATTGACTTGAGCCAAACGTTGCGTTGGCGGTCACATAGAAAGGTAAAGATGAGGGATGCGTAGCATGCCCCCTTAGAGTCGAGGGACGCGTAGCGTGCCCCCTTCTCTTGCACTTTACACGGTCTTGCTCACAGCTCTTATAGTGACACCTTAGAACTTGACAAGGCATCGCAGTCCGTTCGCACCCCCCATGAGTTGCGTCTCCGACGCTGCTCACCCGGAAGATGGCACGATAGGACAACAGAAAATGTTCCGCCGCAACGTTGGCATTGAAAATCAGAGCTTTGCATCCCAATTAGAAACGTTGTGACACTCATCTACGTCAGTAACGATCCCCTGAAATGACAAACGAATCAGGCGTCACCGAAGAAAGAAGCATTCGCGATGGCATTCCATGGGCGAAGCTCAGAGGTCACGAACTGATAGGCGAGGAAGACCAAGCGTTGATTCATCTCCATCTTCGCGTGGTCGCAGGATCGCGGTCCCAGGGCCGGAGGTTTTCCTCTGGATACTGTTCCCGATGCTTTTCCTTGTCCTTGCCTTTGTTTCGGCCTTTGCCGGCGGTGTAGTCGTAGTAGGAGTTGGAGTTCCAGCCTCCATGCTGCTCACCTCCGGTTCTCCCACGCCCTTTTGAAGGTCCCTTGGCCGAAGAAGCGCTTTCACGTTCCTCCGTAGTGACAGGCGTGTCCAGGATGGAAGTACCACCTGGAGGGAGATAGTCAGCGGCCGAAATGTGGTGTAGGGCTTCAGTACGCTTGGTCGTCGGGTTTTGCTGTCTCTCAGCCTTGGATCTGTTCAATCTGTCCATGAAATGCGCAGGCATTTGCACACTGTGGTCCACCAGCAAGCCGATGGTCTGGACTGACTGATCAGAATGAGTCAGCAGAATACCGACGGGGTCGATGTACAAGAAGTCCACCGGTCCAGTTGGCGTTGGTCGTAGCACTGAGAATTGTTGGTGTCCCGTCACCATTGGAATCACCTCGCACAGGACGTTCAGGCAACAAAAGTGCATAGCCTTCACATCTTCATCCCTTTCGCTCTTCAAGTAAGTAGTAGGGTTGAAGTTGTCCCTGCCAATTCCCATCATGTTGGCTCCCCGTGTAAGTAAAGAAAGCATCTGGTTCGTCCGGAAGCGCTTCAAGGTGTAAGTCCCGTTGGGATCATACTGCTTGAGGTTCTCAGGCTCCTTGGCAAAGCGAATGATCTCCTCATCAGTCACATCCTTGCTCACACCCGTTTCCCTATCCACTGCCGCCAAAGATCCCCACTTTCCGAGCACATCATAGCGTTGGCCAAGTGCGAAACTTTCCTCATCTGGAACAACGGCATAGTCGCCCACTTTGCGAATCCTGACCAAGCCTTGTAGATGGATCTGCATACCACGTATGCCATGTACGAAAGAGCGGTCATGTTCGCGTCAATGCAATGGGCATTTCGCTTTCCAGAATAGTAGGATGGCTGCATGGCGGTACGTGCAAGTTGTAGCTCAGGATCGATGTTCAAAGACTGGCCGGTAATGAAGACGGGACGACGTTCCTGTGCAATTGCCTCTGGTACTGCGTCATCAAAGTCCTCTCCTGGCTCTATGTCCATTTCTTCATCAGGTTCCTGTTCTGGATCGTCCTCCGCGATGACAGATGGTTCTGGGATTTCCTCAGGTTCCGCAACGGTCTCTACCTCCATGGCTTCCTGCTCCTCTTCGGGCGCCTCAGGCACTGCGGCTGCTGCGGCTTCCATTGTCTGAGCAATGAAGTCACTGGGGATCTCCGTAGGAGTCTCCCGTTGTGGAGAACCTTGGTAATATCCGCTCGAAATGAACTGTGACCAGCAAGACGTGCATCGGGAGAAACATGCTGGAACGATGTTGTAGCATGCCGGGCATACCCTCATTCTCCGTCCATCCTCGTCTCTGCGTAGGTCTTCGGGTCGCCAATTCTTGATGACAAACTTGATTCCTTTGTCCATATAGTGATGCCGAACCGTGTTCTCCCTGTGGGACTCCAGGACAGTCGTGAGGTCTCGAATGATCTGCTCCTTGCTTGTGTCGTGGGGTCCAGGAGGCATCTCGCAAAGCAATTCCATGATCTTGCTTGGCGTTCGGTATCTCTCGAACTCAGGAAGCAACGGTGATGCATTGTAGTCCAACACCAGCTCTTTCTCCAACCGTTCATCGTAGATCTTTTCCACCAGAGCGAAAGAGTGTGTATCTCGAGGATCCGGGACGCAAAACCATACCTCCTTGACGAAATGGAAAGGTATCGTTCGGCCAACGATCACGATGCCGCTGTCTGTGATACGTCCATCTTCTCGTGCAAGGTCCTGCGATGGGACATGAAGGACCGCCAATGGCATGTGCTTGGCGTCTCGTCCATGTACTCGCATCTTGGTCGTTGCGTTCCGGTGATCGAACGGCGCAAACACCCCCCAATAGCTGTGGAGTCTGCCACCTTGGTTGCCTCGGAATTGGCGCCTATGGTCGAAGTCCCCGTCGGGGTCCTCCGAACCAGGCATGATGCCTTGCGTGACAATGGAATCCAAGTTGCGGCATGCCGTAGCGTGGAACGCACCTCCAAGACGTTGCAAGAGGGTCATAGATGGAGATATTGCGAACCTGTTCTTGTCCAACTGAAGCAAGTTGTTCTGGGGATCTGAGTGCGCAGAGTGACCACTCGTAGCCCGAACTGCCCATGGCTTCACCCAGCCGTTGCACATGTTCAGGTACCTCTGGCCGTGCCGGCAATGATCATTGTTCTGGATCGCCGTGATCTGGTCCTGAACCGATACCAACCTGTTCGAACCTGCTGATCCAAGAGTTTCCGTGCCGGGGTCCTTCACTCTCACACCCAGGAACTGCAACCGAATCTTGGCCTTGTGGCGTTTCGTGGCTGCAATCATGTTCCCTTGGAACAATAGCTGAAGTCTTTCATTGTACACTCTCTTCTTCTGTTGCTCATCGGTCCTTGAGACCGCTTCGGTGATGCGTCTGCTTTCATGGGTCCATAGTGGCTCATGCCTCACCAAATCTTCGATCATCACCCACCCTCCTTCATCACATTTGATGACACTGTTGAATGCCACCTGGCACCTGTTGTCAAGCCATTCCGAGCCTGGGCGCCTGGCGATTCTGTGGCGCAGGTCAGATTGGATGCAGATAGCGCCCAATCCGCGTTCAGTCTGCGCTGACGGGTGATGTCGCGAAGGACAACTTCGTTCACGAGGTCCCATCGATTGTTGATGAAGCTTGCACCCTTGGTTGGGATCAGGTCGAGAATCCCGCACCGGATTGGCCTTCCGCCGCCGATGGATTCGTAGCCTGCATTGGTGTAGCTATGAGTGGTATCATCGTAAGCAAAGCTAGGACGGTCTCCTCGTTGAGGTAGGCGTCGGTCGCGATGGTCCGAAAGCTGCTCAATGAGGTCCACCACTCGCTGGCTATTCTCTGGTCCCGATTCCTGCAGTGGTACGCCACAAGCATCATGTAGGCCCCGACGGTTCTCCACATCCGTGCAGAGATTGTGTTTGTTCTCATAACGGATCAAGACCACATCACCCCGTACGGCTTCGCCTCCGCGTCGCGGTCGGGCTTTGGCCTTGGGTCGTCGGTCCGAGGATGCAACACTCACATGGTCTGTGGTGTCAACGTCCATTGGCTCAGCCTCTTGTGGAGGTACTCGACGTGGATATCGAAGAAGGCTTTCCTTGATAATCTGGACGCCTCGAAGTACCAGATCCCGGGTCGCAGCATTTTCTGTGCAATTGGACAGAGTGTGTAGATCACTGCCACAAGCGACACAGAACGTGAGGCGGTCGCTTCCGACCGACATTTCGCCCTGAGCGAGTACTCCCACATAGTCCTGAAGCTGCGCGACAAATCCTTCACGAATTGCATGCCTGGGATCAGGGCCTTCTGCACCTTGTTCTTCTTCGGGTTGCGCATCCACATCTACATCCTGTGCAGGTATTGGTGGAGCAACTGAGAACCCTGGATCGTCCGTGACGTTGTCAGCGGCCTGTGTCTCGTCGGTTCTCGCAATCTCTACAGGGTAGATATCACCATCGACGATCACTGTGAAATCAATCACGAGGTCAGCGGACATGTTGTTGACGATCTCAGCGACTGCTTCATTCTTCTTGGGCGGTGTCCTTTTGCGCGGGGAGTCAACCGTGATCAGCTCGATAGCTTCGGCCGACGCGTAGCGGAAGAATGATCTTTCGATTCCCCTCGCGCACGCATTTGCTCCCTCAAGGCCACCCCAATTCGGAAAATGACTTGGGTGTCTCATTGCAATTGTAAGAAGCCCGAGCGCCAGCTCCACCGTGTCACCCAGGAGCTCTTCCTTGGGCAAGACTGACCCTCTGTAGCATTCTTGGCGCTCTTCCGGAGTCAAAAGCATTCTCATGAAACCAGCATAAGCGCAGTTCCCGGCATCGTAGTAGCAGATGTAGCATGTCTTGCCTTCGGAGTCGTACCCTCTGTCCCAT